TCACATAGTCTGGGTTCCAGTCCTCAGTCTGTTTTTTCCAACCTGTTTTTTTCCACGGGGGAACACTCTTTCTCTGTTTTCCTCATATTTCTGGGGCTCTCAAGGATTAATCTGTAGTCTTCTGCTATTCTTTGTCTGCATCCTGATCTTGCATGGAGTGGTCAAATCTCATGCCTTTTGGTGGGAGCTGACAGCACCCAACTCTACCTCTCTGTGATTACAGTGGTACCTCGGGTTAAGTACTTAATTCGTTCTGGAGGTCCGTTCTTAACCTGAAAATGTTCTTAACCTGAAGCACCACTTTAGCTAATGGGGCCTCCTCCTGCTGCCGCACCGCTGGAGCACAATTTCTGTTCTCATCCTGAAGCAAAGTTCTTAACCTGAGGTACTATTTCTGGGTTAGCGGAGTCTGTAACCTGAAGCGTATGTAACCTGATGTGTATGTAATCCGAGATACTACTGTATAGCTAATGTCCTCCATCCAATCCTGCATGTCCAACTGATTGTCTGACTTGGATATTTTATCACTGTATCTTCATATTCTCTCAGTATTACCATTCACCATGTTCTTCAGGCATGAAGCCATTGGCTTCATCATTATCTCTCTCTCTCCTTTGCTCCCCATATTGAATCTGTTGTAAAACCTTGCAGCTTTGTACAGTATTGCAAAACATGACCTTTCCCTTTCCCTCCTCTGTTCCATGTTCTCATCTTCTTTTGCTTTGACTATTGCAACTTTCTCATCTCTGGCCTTAACTTTGACAACTCCATCTTTGCCATCATTATCATAATTCAGCCACCAAAACTGTTGACCATTTGTTAAGCACCCTTAAGTATACAAAACTTTGGGAGGTTTGCAGAAATATACAAATACAAATATATGCAAAAGTTTACCAGTGAAATACCAAAAATACCAGTCATAAAAACTATTGCATTGACAATCTATTTGAAATCAGTGCAGCAGCTAAAATATTAAAATACCTAACCAATCGCTGTGCTCTGCAGCAGAGGGTCTCCTTTAGATATCATCTAATCCTGACCCCTGTTCTGTACAATGTTTGAAGTGCTCCTTTCATGTGGTGGCATCTGCCCTTAGGAACTGCCCCCCCCCCAATTACATATCAGACAAGTGCCATCTCTGTTGTTGCTGTTGTTGCTGTTGTTGTTGTTGTTGTTGTTGTTGTTGTTGTTGTTGTTGTTGTTGCAGTGCCTATTGAAGGTCTTCCTTTTTCAACAAGGCTTTAAAGTGGAGATTATTACTTTAATTTAGTAGTTGTTGTGTTGCATTGGTGCAAATATCTAATGCACCAGGTATATGTGCCCATTCTAGTTAAACTGGCTTGGAGAACAAAAAGCACCTAAAAAGCCCTCGCATAGACACCAGGTGAACTTTTCTAGGAAGTGCATTCTATAAATGAGCACCATCACTGAAAAGGCCCTTTTCCTGGTAGCCATCAACCTCACTTCCTTAGGCAGTAGAACCTGGAGATGAACTTCTGCTTCTGTGCTCCACCCCCAGACTCCTACACTCACTAGTGATATGCTGAAACACACTCTTCAATTATTCTAAAGTTTTATTTCTCTGAAAAGAGGCTTCCTTCCACCTTCCTCATTCACAGGGTACTTTAGAATTCTTCCAAAACCTTGGTGGGTGTAGGGTTGAGCTTACCGTATCATTGTGAATTGGCTTTGGGTGGTGGGTGTTCCCCACCCTTTCCATTAAACATTTCTCCAGCACTATGCAGCCTCCCCAGCTCCCTAATCTTAAAAAGGCCCATTGGGAAGAGTTACATCATGAGGTCTCCTGTGGGTTTTAGTGGAAGCTGGGGAAGTTAACTATCATCATCATCCACTGATTTTTATTTTTTTTTTTTAAAAGAAAAAGAACTATAAATTCTTCACTTAAAGAAATAATTATGAACAGCTGCCATGGTAGGCAACCTTCCTGGTTCCCCATGCATACAGGAAAGCCCAGCTGAAGATGTCTTTGGGTTTCAGAAAGTGTGGGCACTTGGAGAGGATGATGATTTGTGGGCAGAAGGGCACTCAAAACCCACCCTTGGCCATCTCAACCACAAGGAAAGCCTGAAAAAAATTCTGCATGCCAACCACAATGTTTTCTCTTTCTTTTGCTAATTACTGAATGAAGGTTCTTTTCTCATTAACTGATAGAGGATAAGAAAAACAGAGCAAGATGCAGGAGAAATTTTCAGCAGCGAGCACACCAAGACTGATTGCCCTTGGATTTGGCTTACCTTCAAAGTACCTGCAATGAATGACCTTATCTCAGTGCCAGGTCCATAGTTTGATGGGCCCTTGGCATGGGGCTGACAATGAACTCCACTCCCCCACTGATTATCCCCTGACCAGGATGGGTATGGCTCTGCCTGCAACATACATCTATGGAATCAATGCATTTCATAGATGTATAGGGCAAGGCATTATATTTTGGGTAACTTAAGATGGCAGGCAGGCACCATGGACAGTGAATGGCAACATAGCTGGGCTATGATGGGCTAGTGAGGGGTCCTTTCAAGATTCTGGGTGCCCTTGGCCAATGCTCCATTTGACCAATAGCTGATGCCAGGCCTGCTTTATCTCTCCACCCTCATATCCTAATACCAGAGATGGGGGAGAAATTTGTTCTGTTTGCAAATCTACCTAATCCACACTTTCTGAAACTATACAATACATGAACCGAAACACAACCGTTCTTGAAAATTCACATTTCCCTGAATCGTGTCTTGCAGTTCTGCAGCCAAGCAGTGTATACAAAATTGAATTCACTAGGATAAACCATAAAATGTATAAAGTAATAAAAAATTGCATTATATTGGGAAGATTGTGAAAATGAATATATTAGATGAAATTGCATGTTAAAAGAAATCCACATTAAAATGATGATGAACTTTCCTGAGGTCTTTTTACACCCACCCACCTTTTTTTTTGTTTTTTTTGGTGTGTTTTTTTTTTGTTTTTTTTTGCAAACTGATGTGGAAATGTAGAGGGTTGAAATTAAGATTGGAAAAATATGAAACTGAGAGGAAGTGAGACTGACATTCATCCATCCCTACTTACCAGTGATGGGACAAAGAGCACAGTCTCTGAGCTTCATATTTTTTCTTAATTAGTTTTTATTAAAGGTTTTCTTGTGTTACAAATAAACATGGAAAAGTATGCTTGATATTAAAGGCCTGGACAGATTCATATGGATATAAGTGATCCTTTAAACATTAATATCAGTGTTCTATACTGAGCACAGAAATGAAATAATAAATAGCCAATTAACTGGTACAGAATCAGTGTAACATGTGCTGGCCATTTTGCTACTACCATATCATAGAATCATAGAGTTGGAAGAGACCCTGAGGATCATTTAGCCCAACCCCATGCAAAGCAGGAATATGCAGCCCCATATGGGGATCGAACCTGCCACCTTGGTGTTTATCTGCACCACACTCTAACCAAGTGAGCTATCCAGACTAGTAACCTTGCAATTCCTAATTGTTTGGCAGTCTTAATACAGCATGGCTATGCTCTGATTTGGGCAGCTGGAAAATGATAGGAAGTCTAAATAAATGATCGTTTTAGTTACATAAGCCTTCCTTGGGCAAAGAAGCAAAGAAACACCAAGCAAGTCAGATAGCGCCATAATCATCCAAAATCTTTCTGATCCTAGACTGCAGGTAATGTCTTGTATGTGGGATTGCTTTTGAAGATGGTTCAGGAACTTGAACTGGTGAAGAACATGGCTGCCTCGATCCTGGTTGGGGCCCGGTGGTCAAAACAAGCAACGCAAGTCCTAAACTAGTTGTAAGTTTCTCATGCAAGCAAGGGCATTTCTGGGCCTAAGTCAAAGCGCTGGTTTTCTGCTGTAAAGCCCTAAAGTTTTGGATCAGGTTATCTGAATGCCTACACCCATCCAGGGATGGAATAATCTGTCAATTTTGGTTTCCCAAAGTTGCTATTTTCCCCAGCTCTCACGCTCAATACAAATCATGATTTCACCTAATACAATGTATTTCTGTATGTTACTTCATGCATCTCTGTACAAATTATTTTGGCTGGTGGCCTGCTTTGCAAAATCCAAAGATATGCAGATGTTGAAGTATAGCTGGAATACAGCTCCAACCATCCCTTACCAGGAGCCATGCTGGCTAGAGCTGATTGAAGTTGTGCTCAAGCAACATCTGGAATGCCAAAGGCTTTACACCTCTGCCGCAAAACAAGTTAAAGCAATTACATTGTGTGGATTTAATGGAATGCATTTTGCTGCTTTAGGAACATGTGAAGTAAATGATCAGCGCTTAAAAATATTGCGAAGTTGCTGTCTGGATTTTCTTGTTTCAAACATTTTGTGTGTGTTTCATGATTATGTAAGCTATCTTGTAAGGGAAATGCCCTAGAGGGCACCCTGTAAACAAACAAATCACCAAACAAGGCCTCCTAATTCCCTTTCCCCTTTGCAGAGCTGCAATTCCCAGTCCATTTGGGAATTGTTGCTCTGTGAGGGAACAATAGGGGTCTCCTAGAAACTCTCAGCACCCTGAACAAACTACAGTTCCCAGGATTCCTTGGGGGAGCCATGGACGTTTAAAATGACATGACACTGTTTTTAATGTGCAGTGCTGCTGGGACCCCACCTGCAGCAATTCTCCAGGGTTTCTGCATGAGTCCTTCCAAGACCTACCTGGAGAAACCAGGGACTGAACCTGGGACCGTTTTGCATGCAAATACGATGCTCAACAACTGAGTTACAGCACGTGTAATAGGGAGATGCCAAAGAAAACCCTTTGCATCTGCCATATAAGGGCCTCTGCACATTTCACCTCAAAGGTATAATGTTTCATATGTACACACAGCCCCCAGCTCAGAATGTGTGAATGTGACAATGGCATCCTTCCAAACCCTCATCTTGGTGCAACGTCCTGCTGTGTGTACACTCATGGGCAAACATGGGTTTGCTGCTGAGTAATTTGCGAAACAGCCCTGAAGCGTTGTTGCTGCGTTTGCATTTTTTATTTATTTTTTAGTTAGTCAAGACATCTATTTAAATCCAGCAAGAAGGCATCTAAACGCTGGAAGAAAAGCTTCTGGATAATGTTGGCGACAGAAACACCACCCTAACGAAAGAGGTGGGTTCTGTTCCAGAAACACTTCTTCAGATACATCCAAGCACGAATAAAATGAGCCTTCTTTAGTATCTAAAGCAATCCAGGCAGGCAAAGCAACTAGGATTCGGTAAGGTTTTACACAGAACGGCGATGACGACGACAGCAAAACCCCGACATGCTTTTTTCTCTGGGTAAGCTGAATGGAACTGAACAGCATTGGCGATGTGCGTCGTCAGTTTCCAGAATGGAGAGAGAGAGAGGAACGGCGAATCTAAATGTGTTACTTAAGGCTGGAAGATTTCAGAGGATGAAAATGGAGACTGGGACTGCCAGGGGCTGTCTGCCATGCCGACAAATCTGATCTGGAAATGATGGATGCAAACGGGGTGGGTGGGTAGGTGGGAAGAACCACATTCAGTAAGCTCCATCAAACTGCCATGCAAAACTAGCCAAAAGTGCTCATGTCCTTACCGTGCTGTGGCTGGCAGGCAATCCGTGTCTGGGAGCCTTCGGTCCCGCTAACTAGGCTCTGGGGGTTTTGTTTGCAAGAGAGATTGTCCTTTATGGGATCGGAGCAAGAAAATGGAGATATAAAGAGAAATGAACACAACGTGCAAGGCAAATAGCTGCAGTTCTTTAACATGCTTCCTGCGTTATTGTTAAGCTGCATCCGCAGTCGAGGAGGCTACGTTCCCCAAAATAGGACAGGCTGCTGTCAGTGGCTTGCTTGAAACCTGAGCAAGAATTTGCGGAACGGTGGAGAATCTGGGTTGCTGGAGTGTACGACCACAGCAAGAAATTGCTGGCAGTAGGGAGCAAGGATGCTCAGAAAGGGAGTGAAATTGCGAATTCGCCACTGACAGGACATGAGCCGGCCTGTGCGTCCACCAACGCTTCCCCCCTCGCCTTAACCCTTAAGAGCCCAGCCTAAAAGGAGGAGGCGAACGCGCTCGAAGAACCACTATACTTGCCCTCATCATCCTTTTCTTTTTGGGTTGGGTGACGCGCTGAATTACGGCAGCGTCCCTGCTTCTGAGAATTCACATGCTCCAGCGTCCTGACATTATGCAGAGGTCTGCACAATTTTAACCCATCAGTAGCAGGGCTTCCTTTTCTACTGGCTGCTTCTCCCTTGGCCTCTGGGCAGCTGGATAACGAAAAGACACTCTGATGCTGAGTCTGAAAAAAGTCTGCAGGGGCGAGGTATCAAGTTTCCCCGTCGCTAGCGTTACTGAGGATATGGGATGGTCCAAACGAAAATAGATTGCATAAAAGAATCGATTCTTTATATATTGGTAGCTGCCAGGGCTGGGTTTTTGATTTTTTTTTAGGGAGAAGAAGGTTGGTAATAAAATGGAAATATTTAGAGGGATAAAATAAGGATTTATGGCACAGTCTAATCTGGTTCACAGCTATTGCTGAAGAATTCATTCAGAACGTATGGCATAGCAGAGAGCAAGATTTGTTTTCAGCTATGTGGCAGAAAGTTAAAAGGTAAAGGTAAAGGTACCCCTGCCCGTACAGGCCAGTCTTGACAGACTCTGGGGTTGTGCGCCCATCTCACTCTAGAGGCCGGGGGCCAGCGCTGTCCGAAGACACTTCCGGGTCATGTGGCCAGCGTGACAAAGCTGCATCTGGCGAGCCAGCGCAGCACACGGAAACGCCGTTTACCTTCCCGCCAGTAAGCGGTCCCTATTTATCTACTTGCACCCGGGGGTGCTTTCGAACTGCTAGGTTGGCAGGTGCTGGGACTGAGCAACGGGAGCGCACCCCGCCGCGGGGATTTGAACCGCCGACCTTTGGATCGGCAAGCCCTAGGCGCTGAGGCTTTTACCCACAGCACCACCCGCGTCCCTTTTGGCAGAAAGTTACTTTATATATAAAGGAGGACAACAGTATTAATACGGTGCCTCCAGTGAGATACACCACTATTTGGAATTTTTAGCAACTCTTCAACTTTAAATGAGAATGTTGTACAATCTGAGGACCACTTACTAATACCTACTTCAGTGTGTATGGCCTGTATCTTTAAAGAGACGTGCCTAGTCTGTGATAGAAACTCCCTCCCCTGTTTGGGTGTGGTTCGCTCCATAGTTTCCTGGGAACTAAGTTGGGAGTCTTAGGCTGTGAACACACCATAGCTTTAAAGCACATTCGAAGCACATAGACCCGCCCCCTCAAAAGAATTCATGGAATTACAATTCCCAGCAACCCTTAAAAAATGACAATGCCCAGAATTAATATTTTCTTGGAGTGGGGTGGGGTGTATGCAGCCACAACCTTGCCTGCATAAGCAAGTTTTAGCTACTATACTGAGTGTATCGGCTGTTCACCGGTAAACACAACAGTTGAACTGATCCTGATTCCTGCTGCTTTGTGGTATTAGGCAGGGCTGGCCCAATACATTTCGGCACCTGAAATAGACCACTCTCCACCCAGGAAGGGCAGGTGAGGGAAGTTACACATCAAGAACAAGGGGCAAGAAAGATCCACATAGGGATATACTGCCTAAAGTGGATCCTGCTGCCTAAAGCAATTGACTCCTCTTGCCTGGCGGACAAGCCCTGGTATTAGAGTAGACCCATTGGAAGGTTTTCTCAGACAGTACCCTGCCAAAACCCATGGGATACTACATGGGGTCCGAAAGTGGGCCTGCACCATCACTAAAGCAGAAACATTTATACCAGAAAAAGGACCTTCCAATGCCAATAGTTATACTTCCCAGGGACTGTGAATACAATGACCCAAAATATATGTTTAATTTCAATTTCTGTTCAATTATATATATTTTTCTTTATTACTTTATTTCCTACATGTTATTGAATTATATTATATGTTTTTGGTTTAACAGATAAAAAGGGAGGAGCTTTCTTCTTCAAGCAGCTGTGGGCTCATGTTGCTTATCATTAAAACAATGGCAATGCAAGGAGAGTATAGATACGAGGGGCAAAATAAATAAAAATAAAAAAATACCCCTGAAGGTGAATTCTGATCTTATTTATTATCTTATTACTTACTTACTTACTTACTTACTTACTTACTTACTTACTTACTTAATTTATGAATCACTTCCCATGTTGCATCTCAGAGCAATTTACAGCATGGTAAAAATATGTGCAAGTACAACAGCGTACATAAAACTTTTTTTAATTAAAAAAAAATCTGTTCTTTGTTCACTATGCACTGGGATACCTCTTAAGGTATCCTAACCAAATTTTGCATAATGGTTCCTGAGATTAAGAAGCAGGTTTTCATCTGTGTTTGGATAAAACTGGGTGCCATTTTGATTCAAGATGGCGCACGGAACCTTTCGATACAACACTGATTTCAACCACTGATTTCAACAGTAATAACAACAATGACAGTTACAAGTGACACGCGGGAAGACTGAGCTCTTGAACTACAACTCCCATCACCCCCGACCATTGGCCTTGTTAGCTGGGGATCATAGGGGTTGTATTCCAACAACAACTGGAGACCCAAATATGGGCATCCACAGAATTTTTTCCAGGGTGGTGATGCTGGAAGAGGAGAATTCCAAATTAAAACACACACATCCCCAAAAGGCAGCAGCAGGTTAGTTACTCACAAAACAAATGAGAAGAATAGTGCCTGCACATTTTGCCTTGCATCTCAGCTTCTCCAAATGCTAGAAACATACCCTCCCTCCTTTTTTAAAAATGAAAGCTGGTAATCAGGGCATTATGGTTCATCTGGGGCAGCGGGAAGCTGCTCTTCTTGCTGTGCTCCTGTGGATACCCATGGACCCAAGATTTGTGCAGGCTGATCTAGACTAATATGGCCCCTTCTCTCCTCTTCTAGCAACTGTTCTCCAAGGTCACAGGTAAGGATTGTTCCAGGTGCTGATCTTCGATTTTCTTTTAGCCAGAGATGCTGTGGGAACTGTTTATGGGGCTTTCTGGATGCAAAGCATGTGCCGTGCCGTTGAACTATGCACCCTTCCAAATCATTGGTGGGTAATAGAGTATGAGTCTCTGCGTGTTATCAGAGAGCAGCGTCTGTGCTGAGGTGACAGGTTATGCAGAAATTGGAATGAATATGAGCTGATTAAGGTAAGTCTCTTACTGTCTGTCTCCTCCGCTGTTAAAAGGGCGAGCTTGCAGCAACCACTCAGCAATTTTTGACCTTAAGGAAGGACTGGATCGTCTGTTAACCCCCTATACTGCCCTAGAAATGCTGCTTTCAGCAATATCCCCAGAGAGCCTTGACTATCCATACAGTCTCATGAAATAAAAATAATAGAAAATACTTGAGTATACAGACTCTGAAGAACCTGGTGCTCAGATTACATGGTGGGAGGGCAGCCCTCTTACCTGTGATGTCACCTTCTCTTAAGTACTGGTCCGTTTTTGGAGATGGAGCTTGTAGATTTCATTAAGTGACCTTGCCCACAACCTTCATCTGAGGGAGCGGGAAACATTGAACCACACTCTGGCTGGAACCAATTGCCTTTTGGGCTCTCCTATCCTAGAGCCAACCCCTCACCCTAGAGTCATCCATCTAATCTCCTCCTCTTCCTCCTCTTGGATCATGAACCTGTAGGCAGGGTCTGCCATGTCTGTCTTAAATCCCTGCACAGTGCCTAGAACAGCTTCTGCCAACTTAGTGCGCTCCGGATATTTTGGACTACATCTGGGGCTGAAGAGAGTTCCAGCAGCAGAAGGGAGTTAACAGTAGCCCTTGGGGTACTGTTACAATGGGCATTGCCTGCAAGAATGGTGAACTCCTTCACATGTGGGGGAAATGCCCCCCAAAGGGGTAACAGCAATTCCTCATCAGAATCCAAGTACTAATACACACTTACACTGTCCTTCCTTCCCCCATAAGGCTGTGCTGTGCCCAGTGCCAGATTTACGTATAAGCTAAACAAGCTATAGCTTAGGCCTACTCTCTTGGGCCCCCCCCCAAAAAATTAAAGGTGGGAAAACTGGATGTACATTTCCAAAATATAAGATAAAAGACAAATAAAATAAAACCTACATACAGCAACAGTGTTTTGTGTTCTGTAGCCTCCTATGATGTAACTAATGAGCCCTGCCTGCTAGCCTGCTCCCTAAAATATCACTGGTTTGCTCATTTCTATATACAGTGGTACCTTGGTTCTCAAACTTAATCCTGTTCCAAAACCAAAGCGTTCCAAAACTAGACTAGATTATGAGTGTAAATTGTGTTTCTAAAGGAACTTTTGTTATTGCCAAATGGCAATGTGTTTGCATAATAATAATAATAATAATAATAATAATAATAATAATTTATTATTTATACCCCACCCATCTGGCTGAGTTTCCACAACCACTCTGGGTGGCTCCCAATCAGTGTTAAAAACAGTACAGCATTACATATTAAAAAATTTAAGTTTGTTATGAATAAAAAATCATTTTAAGTTAGAGCTTAATAATTATTTCACTATTAATATACTTCTTCTTAATTGTATTTCAGTTCAACAATTGCTTTGATAAAATACTGTACATATTTTGTTATGTGCAAATGGCTTTAGACACCTATTAGGTCCATAAATTACCATACAGCATATATTCAACACAAAAACAGCGACAATTTGTTGTTGACAAAGGACAGCTGGACATATAAAGGGCTCCATTACCTTCAGTAGTTTAGGGGCTCATCAAACCTAAATCTGGCCCTGGCTGTGCCACTTTTTAAATGGGATGTACCCCTCTCCTTTCAGGAAATAAGAGGTCACCCCCAGAAGATTTCCTGTTGTTCCCAAAAGATTCTGAGGTGACCTGGCATTCCACAAAGAAAGGGGCATCTGCCAGATTTAAAGGGATGGGCAATTCTCTCCCTCTTGCTATGCTTTTGGCCTGGTCGCTTGCAGATGACCCAACTATTGAGTAATTTCCCCACTTATGTCCCACAGCAGCTGCTTGTAGCAGGTGTTTACAAGGGAGAGAGGTGACCCCATCCAGAATGCTGCAACTACCA